TCTGGGCGGTCCCGCCGCCCGTGTCCTCCGTGGCGAGAAAAGCCCCGTTCGTATGTAGGGATCTGACGTAAGTCGATCCACGTAACTCGGAGACTGCCTGTATACTTGAAATTGATTACTTCTGTAAAGGTTTATTCCCCTCTTGAATTGTAGCGGATTGCTATTACTTTTGGGAGAGAAAGTTATATCATACTTCCTTCATTAGCTGTAAATTTTAAGATTAAAGGATTTTAACACTATTTTTAGAAATGAGAAAATATTTGTATTTCTTTCCTGTTTTTAAACAGCTGGAAAAGGTAAATTTTAAAATTTCGTCCTTTAGTGTTAGGGCTTGTTAGTTTAAATGCAAAACCCAAACCAACACTGACTGGGATTCTCCAAAATGTAAGTCTTTATTTGATAAATGTGTATTGATTCCTCATGAGGAATTTAAAATACTCTTGTGATGAGACCAAAAAGGAGTTGCCTTTTACTACATAGGCTTATGCAGTACAATATTGGGATAGTCTTAAAGCGATCGTATTCTGAAGAATCTGATATTTGTAGAGGGGGTTAGACAGTCTACTGTTGGCAAATAGAACTTCATAAAGAAAACTGGTATTACGAGGTTTGTGGCCTTAATTCAGCAGAGCACAAGTATACTTAACTTTCAGCTTGCGTGCGGTCCCACTGAAGTGAATGGGCCCACTTGCATGCTTTAAGTTGACTAACTAGGCTACGTCTACATTGGCAAGATTTCGCGCAAATAGTTTTTGTGTTAAAGTATTTGCGCAAGAGAGCATCTACACTGACATGTGCTTTTGCGCAAAAGCATCCGTGCCAGTGTAGATGCTCTCTTGCGCAAGAAAGCTCCGATGGCCATTTTAGCCATTGGGCTTTCTTGCGCAAGAAATTAATGTTGCCTGTCTACACTGGCCTTTTGTGCAAGAACAGTTGCACAAGAGGGCTTATTCCTGAGCGGGAGCATCATAGTTATTGCGCAAGAAGCCCTGATTTCACACATTAGAACGTCAGTGTTCTTGCGCAAGAACTCCCCACCAGTGTAGACAGGCAGCATGTTTTTGCGCAGAAGTGGCCGCTTTTGCACAAAATCATGCCAATGTAGACACAGCCTAGGTGTTTGTGTTTTGATGAACTAGGGTCAGAGTCCCGTATACATTGTAGGATCAAGCTGTTATTTTGTAACTACAGGAAGTCCCCGGTTACGTACAAGATAGGGACTGTAGGTTTGTTCTTAAGTTGAATTTGTATGTAAGTCGGAACTGGTACATATTGTAGGGGAAACTCAGCCAAACATTTCTCCAGAGCTCAGTTTTATTCTCCCACACCTCACTTCCCTCAGTCCTTTATTCTCAAGCTGAGGTGTCTGCTGAGAAAAGCCGCTCTGCATCTCCCTGGTCTGCTGGGGGGGGTGCTAGCTTCACGTCTCCCTGGTCTGCTGGGGGGAAGCAGCTAGTGCAGGGTTGCCTCACCCCGTTTGTAAGTAAGGATCCGATGTAAGTCGGATCCATGTAACCCGGGGACTGCCTGTACCTTCAAAATCCTCTCTCATAGCTTTATATCTGTACTATATAATACCAAATATCTTTCATCTCCTGGATGTGTTTCACAAATATCTGATGTAGCAGTAAAGTTATCATCAGTGGAGGATGTGCAGATACCTTTTCTGTACTTTTTGCCAGTTCACAATTGTTCACCAGCCCTCCAGCCCCCTTCTTTAATGACCAAGCCCCTTAATAAACTTAGCTTACACTCCTCTGTCCAATCTCCTTCCCAGGATCATACTCCTGACTCTGAATGGAAACCTTGGGGTTTTCACTTTTAATTCTGCATATGAATAGCTGTAACCTCAATTTAGAATATAAATCTACTGTTGAATCAGCTCTTTCATTTCTACCCATTCTTAGCTTTCAAAATTCTTCTTCCCCTTTCTTCCTCCCTCTCGAATTCTCCTCCCATGTTCCCTAAACTGGCTTCTGTTCCCTTCTATTTTAGACTCCCTAAATTAACATTTTTTTGTTTTTTCAAAAGCACAAATGTCTTAGCTCCCGCTTTTTTTTCTTCTATAAGTAATGAATCCTGTATTTAGCATTTGTCTCATCACATGGCTTCTCCATGTGTTGTAGTTGCTAAGTGTCCTGTTTTGAACCGGACAGTCGGTATTTGAGCTTTCTGTCTGGGAAACAAATTTGAGAAAATACCGGACACATATATGTCTGGTATTTTATAATTAAGTAAGTTTTATTGTTATCATGAGTATCGGTACGTAGTTGCGTACTGCGTGAGTGTGTCTACCAGCCAGGCAGTACGCAGCTACACAATAGAGAGGAAGGAGGTAGGGGCGGGGCGGGACTGGAGCGGGATGTAATCCCCGGGGCCGGACTTGCTCGTGCACCCTCCCGGCACCATGCGTGGGATGGGCAGCACCCTGGGATCTGCTTGCATCCGGGTCAGCCCCGCTCCCCGCTGGCTGGTTCCCTCCTGGCCAGCCCTGCTCCCCC